CCGTGGTCGAGGAGAAGCCGTGCGTCGAGACGAGCTCGTGCGAGGTCAGGGACCAGATGAGGTTGCATACCTGCAATAAAGGAGTCAGTGGGGGAGGAAGGAAGGGAAGGGAACCACGAACCTGGGACCCCGTATCCAGCTCACTCAGCATACTCCCCACGCCTGTATTCCAGAACCTGATATGCTTATCCTGCGTGCCCCCGCCGGTCGCGAGGACGCCGCTCACATGCGGGTCCCACGCGAGCGCCTTGACAGCCGCCGTGTGCTCATGGAACTTCCAGAGCGGTGCGTCGCCCGGCTCCTCGCCTCCCGCCGCGGCATGGGTGGCAGTCGAAGGCCGTGAGCTGGGCCGCCGCGAGCCCCGGAGGTCCCATATGCAGACTTTGTTGTCGTTCCCCCCGCTGGCAAGCGCCGCGCCTGATCCTACGCCCCAGCCTCCCGCGGGAGCGCCTCCCTCTGGGTGTGCGGCAGCCTCGCCGACGACGGGGCCTATGGCACCTCCTGCGCCGTTGCTGCTCCACTTGAGGCCACAGACCTCCTGCCTGTGGCCAACGCAGCGGCGGAAGGGGCGCTGGACAGCTTCGCGGACGTCGCGGTGGTGGACAGAGCGGTCGCGGGAGCCGGAGGAGAGGACGTGTGCGTTCCAGGCGAGAGCGCCGATGCGCTGGGTGTGTGCGGCGGCGTAGGTGCGCTGAAGCTGGAGGGTGGCGGCATCGTAGATGTGGAGGCGGCCGGCAAGGGTGCCGACGGCGAGGGTGGTGCCCTGCAGGACATGAGTGGGGCATGTAGGGGTAGGAGGAGGAGGGAACACACCTTTTGGACCCAGGAGACAGAGCTGATGGTGTCGTGCTGGTCGCTGAGATCGCAGAGCTTGCTGACGGCGGCGTTGTGTGCGGTCCAGAGATACACACAGCTGCCGAGCCCGACGCCGAGGACGTTGGTGCTGCTCCAGTCGACCAGGTTCAGGTAAAAATCGTCCGCTAGGTCCGGCGCGTCTAGCACTCGGTACGGCGTCTTGCACACCGCCCGTACGTGTCTGCGCGGCGACTCCAGCAGCGCCCGCGACGACGCCCGCACCGGCGACAGCGAGTATGCGGGGGCGGCAGGCGTGTCGAGGCGGCGCGTGGGCGTCGCGGGGTCCGACGACGGGGACGAGTACGCAAAGAGGCGCCGCCGCGTGGGTGTGCTGGGTGTGAGCCCAGGCGTCGTCGTCGTCGGTGGCGGCGGGCGTGTGGCGGAGCGGACGGGCGACGGGGGTGTGACCTCGCTGTGGAGGATGGAAGTGAAGATGGCGTTCGCCTGCTCGCGCAGCGCATCGGACTCGGAGGGGATGATCCGGCTCTTCGACGGTGTCGTCGGCGCCGTCTCGTCCAGCAGGTGGTACGACGTCCGCATGTCCCCCCCGTCCCGGCTCGGCACAAACCGATCCCCGTATGTCGCCTGCACCCTCCCCCCCTCCTCGGCGCTCTCAAAGATCGAGTTCACCCGCGCCCGCGTCCGCCGTGGCGTGCTGCTGCTCCCGCTCCCCGTGCTGCTCGTCGAGGCATCCGTGCCTGGGTGCTCCTGCTGCGCTGCACGCAGCCGTTTTCCAAAGGGAGAGTTCTTGAGGCCAGACATGCGACGTGCATCGGTCAAAGGTTCAGATGAACAAACAATTTGGCGACGCGTTGCCCACGTGACCCCGTGGGAAACTACCTCTGTAGCCAAAACTGGACACACCCGGAATTGAACCGGGGACCGCCCGCATGCTAAGCGGGCGTGATAACCAACTACACCATGTGCCCATGGGTGTGCGCCACAGCACCATCCCACCGTCGAGCCATGCGACATTATCTTGAGGCACGACAGGTATGTCGGAGAAGGATCGAAGACCGAAATTTCAAACGCCGCATTTTAGTCAGCATTGGTCAGCTGGTTGGATTTAAAAGTTCGTCATCGTCCAAGCTTTCGTCTCACACATTACCACTTAAAACATGGGAGGCTTGCAGAGAGCTGCAGTTTCGTACGGCATTGTGCTCAATCACCAACAAGTGTCGGCTCTTCGAGAATGCCTAGATGCAGAAGATGGCTCAGCTTGGGACCTTCTCGATATCTTCAGCCAATGGCTTGAAAATGAAGATCTGCTGAAGCCCTACCATTGCCAAGTCGAGGCATCCTACGAGGAAGCGGGTGAATCTGAAGAGGACGAATGTTTGGTCATCACGTTCGAAGGATGCAAGGACCAGGAAAGCAAAGTACAGCCAGAGGCCGTAGAAATCTGGGGCCACTCGAATTGTACGCTCATACAACGCACCCGATCTTCTTTATGCATGAAAGCTGAATCAAATGAGCAGCTGCTACGAAATTTAAAGCACTCAAGAATCTAGATGACGAGGCCTTCTTAAAGACAGCCAGAAAAGCTCTGCAAAAATTGAAGGATACGCAACTCTTCAAAGACGCTAATATAACAGAAATCACTCCTGAGTGGGTCCTCAGCATAGCAACTTCTCACTGAAATTGAACAGAGGCTACATACACCGTTGAGTACGCCTTCAGTTGTCAAGAACTATCTATATGGCTTGACAAAATAATCCTACATTATCGAAGAATTAATTTTGACAATGTCGCCCACATCAACTCCCATCATCCCAGCTTATTCTTAAATTGTTACTGCGTGAAAATAAGAACATTTTAATGTTGAATACGTGCGCCACAACATGGGCAGTTGATTATCCGCATCCAATTGTGATGGAGGCTCTCCGAAATTCTTCAGTCCTCAGTGGGCTGGCAGAGGTATCTAGTACTCTGTCGTTGCTCAGGTAATAACCATTCCATTCCATTCATCAATCATCCTGCCCCGGCCCGCGCATAATACAACCAGTCAATAAATTTCGAGAATTCAAGTTTCTCACTCCGACGAGTCCTTTCTTAACTCACATTACCTTTTTTTAGGCATTGATCATATTTCCACGGTGGCTGCGCGATAGCAACATACTCGTACAGGGATAGGTTTCAATAACAGTGTTTTCTCTACAACTCGACAATCATCGGATGGAGATCACTGTCCTGAACTGTCCAACGTTCCATGCAACTAACAAGACATCTCATTACCCTGAGAGAATCCGCAACCGCGTTTCTATTCTTACAATGCACATCAATGTCACCGTTTTAGAGACCTACCCCTTAAATCAAAAGGCTGCTTGCAGACGCAGGACATTTATCTTCTCACAACAGTCATCTGAAGAACCACGACGAGCCTGAGAGCACCAACAGCCAGCCCAGCGTCGACTGCCCCTCATCTAAATCTGGTTCAATTGACCACCGTCAGGTATTCCCAGCATCCATGATGCTTCCGGGGGCGTTGCTGTGTGTGAGATATCTGTTTCGAAGACTGTACCTTGTATATACTGTCGCTGCGTTCAGGGCCAGTATCCCTGATCAGGCACTTGGGAACAATGTTAAGGCAAGCAGCGCTTACTACTATTCACCTTTTATGCCTCTCTGTTAAAGTCTCTCCTGACGCACAAAGCACAGGAAATTACTCCTTTACACAGATGACCATGACCACGACCACGACCACGACCACGACCACGACAAGGCCGCCGCAAGTTCTGCACCTGCCGACGTGGACCGGTGCTATGCCGCAGCAGAGGAATTCCGCGAAGAGGAATTCCGCCGGTGCACGCGCGCGCGAGAAGACCTCTTTCAAGAAGAGACGCGGCTCCGCGATGAGGGGACCCAAGAGCGGTCGAGGAAGTTCACCACGTTCCTCGAGAGCCTCGATGCTGCCTTTGACGCGGGCGAGAAGCGCCGCGAGGGGGTGTATAACGCGGCCGACGCCCGCCACGAGGAGGATTTCCGTGCAAATGACGCCGCTCGGGATTTAGAGTTTCAGGAAGCGGAGAAGCGTCGAATGAGGTTGTATCAACTTGGAGAAGACGACCGGTCGGAGCTCGCGCGCGAGTGCGAAGTGATGCGTGTGCTGCATTTTCGGAAAGGCCGTCGAGCGAGAGAAGCGATCTTTGCGCAAGTGAAGAAGGCGTTGGAGGACGTGTTATTTTCAGAGATGGAAGAAACGTCCTCTAGCCTGGACTGTTCTCCTGAAGAGCTTGACGCTAGGAGCACTGAGTTTGCCGATCCCGAGCTCATCTTCGCTTCGTGGTTTGTGCTCCCTGCAAATTAATACTTCAATCCATTTCTAAACCATTGTGACAGGGCAGGCGAATCCCATGTCCAGTCGTCTGCCAGCAGCGATAACATGTCCAATCAACCTTGTGAGTAAATGTCGATGTTCTTTGCGCGAAGGGTGGGCATAAGAATGAGTCAAACTTTTGCAGCATTGCCACTTCCCAGGCCCCTACTATTGTACCAAAGACAAAACCTCATAGCCCACGGATACAACAGCCAAGTTTCCTGGGACGGAGACACTCGCTTCCTGACGCGTCCACCTCGGAAGCACAATCGAAACGAGCAAACACATTTTGAACATACGCTTAGCGAGCCTTTGAATGTCGGCAGAACTCATGTGCTTGATAGCACCCCAACACTCAAAAACCCGCCTCCGTCTCCGGTGGATATCTCTGTCGACGTCCAGTCGGGAGCAGTTCCGGTCCCAGAAGCTGCTTCGACTCCGCACCAGATTGCGAGCACCGCCTCCGTACTACCGACGAACGAGACTCCAAAAGAAGGCCAGGCAGCCACCGCGGATGGTTCTGGTATCTCCTCGCACATCCAGATTCCAAGCTGCTCTCTTAAGCATTGTTCGCTTAGAAAGGATCAGTTCAAAAAACAGCAAGCGGCGGTGGATGAGCTCTTCGTATTAGCCCAGATGCGCCGCCATCAGATGTTCATCTCGGAGGAACATGCTAGAGAGGCCCAAGCTGCCACAGCAGTGAAGAGGGTACAAGCGGCGGCCGGGGACAGGACGAAAGTGTGGTCGAGCAAACACGCCTTCTGGAATTTCACAAGAGAGAAAACAGCCAATTTGCAGACGGCGCATTTTCTGTGGCGTGAAAGGACTCGGGAGGCGGTGGAGCACCGCCGCGAGGCGAGATTCTTGTATCCCCTTGTTAGGTTCTACATGCAGATGGCAAGCATCCGTCAGACGTTCGTCGGACAAGATCAGAGTGAAGTCCAGGCCGTTCTTGAGATGCGGGCTGATGCCGAGTCCCTTTACGAGGAGCTTGAACGGCGGCGCCGTCGGCGTGATCGAACGTTCTCGCCGCGCCCTGTCAGTGGGCGTGTTGACGGTGTAATCTGCCGCCCGCAAAGCCTCGGCAGAAGAAATGAAGGCCTGGCCCTTATCACGGATGCGGAAGATGCGAGATGGTGTGGAAAGGCTGCAGCAGCAAGGCGATCGCCGCCAACGGGATTTGTGCGTTCAAAGTAATTTGTTTCACGGAACTGGAGTTTCTGATACGCCGTGTGGTCCATGGTTTCCTCCAGGCTCCAAGCGTTTTGCTTACTCTTCCAAAGACACAAAAGGCACTGCCTATCCCGACCGAAGAACACACACCGCTGACTCCACAGGAGCGAAGACGACAAGCCATCTTCGTTAAATCCCAAGATCAGAGGGCACTCTCGTTCAAGAACGGCGCCGAACTACGAGCACGCATATTTTCTGCCGCCGAAGCGAGCTCGCAGCTGGAATTTGAGAACCAGAAGAGGGAGTGGGAGATGGCGTTCAGGGAAAGCGAGGGGAGGTGGGACGCTAGCTTCGGACGAGCTCAGGCCACGCGAGAAAGCGATTTTTCGGCGGGGGAGGAGCGCAGGAGGCGCAGATTTCGGAAGGTGCAGGAGAGGAGGGCTGTTGAATTTACCCGGACCTTGGCAGATCTTGATGTTCGGCATAGAGAGCTTCAAGAGGAGCTGCAGCGCGTGTGCGCTAAGAACGAAAGGAAGCGGACGGAGGATGTGCGTACGTGGGCTGCCAAACTATTTGAATGCCTGGAACACGGCTAGAATTGTTACAACTTGAGACCATTCGCGACACTGCTTGAGGCGTGAGTAAGCGTGATGGCGGTTGATCGCCGCTTGGCTCTCTTCCACGACCACCAACGCCGGCGCCGATGGCTCTCACGGTGCGTTCCACGACGCAGGCGGAGGCAGAAGCGCTGTACATGTCCCTCGCTGTCTCCTTCGACTCCCCTGGCCAATCGTTTGAGGTCAGCGCCCCCGCTTCTACCACGCGCCTACTAACACCACCAACAGGAAGCCCGCATCGCCGACTACCTCGCGTCCTACCAGTCCACTGGCCGCCCACCACCACCATGCCCCGACCTCCCCGCCGACCCAGCAGCACGCGCACGCGCAGGTCTGCCGCCCTTGTTCAAGCCCGTGCCAGAATCGAAGATTAACCCGCCTACCAACGCCAACGCCACCACCAACGCAAACCCCTTCGCGAGCACCGCGGCATCCGCCCACGGCTTGGGGGGTGCGAATGGGGGCGTAGGAACAAGGATAACGGACCCGGCACAGCTCCCACGCGCACAGGAGTTTGCGCCCACCAAAGCGGAGGACGATACGTTCCAGAGTGTTTCTGCCATGGCTGTCTTTGCCGGGTTCAGTCACGAGGTCAACCCTCTCCCGCTCTCCGATTGTGATTGTGCATTCACTTACTGGCGGCGCGTACAGGAACTCCGTATCTACGCGTACATCCTCGGGAACAAGTTCCCGCCCTCCCCAATCAAGATGTCCCCCTTCGTCGCCGCCCCGCACATCGCCTCTTCCTCCGTCTCCACCTCCGTATCTTTCTCATCTACCGTGCAGCCAGGCGCCGCGGGTACAAACACGAATGGGGAACAGA